TGCAGGGTTACATATTTAAAGCATTTTTCTTGCCTATTTTGTAAACTATTCCTTTATCCACTACCTTTGTATTTCTTTTGCTGATAATGTATTGTTTGACATTGGAATATAATTGTTATTGAATTGAATTGAATTAGGACAGCAAATTATGAGATATGCGGCTGGAAAATATTTCATTCTAAAATCTGCATCTTAATTCTTGACTCCATCCGGCAAACAAGGCCTAGCATCTCAGGCCTTAGATTGCAGTCCCATCAATCGGACCACTTCCAGTCCACCGGCCAGAAATTTACATATTACATGTTGATCCGTTCGAGTCGGTCTGCGGTCGATCCACTAGAGTGGGCCTGGCCTAGCTAAACCTTCCGCTCGAGTTGGCTTTGGCATTTGCGACTAAACAATATATAAATAACGTTCTAAAACCTGCATCTTCCGATCAGCACCAAGTTCGAGGAGGACCGAAATACATGTAATATTGTCAATGTGAGAACATATTAATATTAAGTAAATCGGCTATGTAGTTTTTGTACTAATAATAAAATGTAAACTAAATATAATATATTAACAATAATAAATATAACAAACATTTCTAGTCGAGGTACCTTCTGTATTCTAATGTATATCTAATTCAATGAACATGCCCTGGGCTTAGTCAAATGATTAATTGAACCAGGAAGGGCTCCCTGATTGAGCAATGCCAATTACAAAATGCTTATCGGATTACTGCATTACAGTAAATGTGAGTTAATACTTTTCATACAAATAATAACTTGCAATGTTGTTACTACTTTCAGTTTTTCTTAATTCTTTTTTAATATATTTCACCAAAAGCAACAACTTAATATTGTATACATCTGCTCTCCACAATGTGTCAAAACAGAGAGACAGTTAAAGGTTATTTTGACTGCTGCTTGACTTGGGTGTCAAACCAGTTTCTCTTCCAATTGGATACTCATTGGTACATTCCATTGCTGAATGTTCCATTAATTAATTATTTGGAATTACTAAATGACAACATCATTAACCCTAACAGTGCTAGTAATATTAGGGTCAACCGTTTGTTTGCTTTGGAAATGCAATCAGTGATAAATTACGCCCATCATTTAATAAATTTCTAGATTCCACTTCAAGAGGAATAATTCAAGCATTGTCTGCAAGAATGTTGCTTGCTGTTAGTCTTGTGGTGCTGGCTATAGCTTGTGTAGTTTGGATCAGAGCTAAGCAAAGCATCAAGAATCCGTACCAGAAACTAGAAACAAACGTGGACGACATGTGAATGAAACTGGGAAAACTTTTAACCTACATTATGAAACTTCGTTTCTTAGTTACAATATTTATTCAATGCATGCTTGTAGTGTAGCCTATAAAGTTGAGGGTTTGATAGATACATTACAGAATTTTTAAAAAAATGAAATTTTTATTATTTTACGCCTATAATGTCATTTACCATGCACAACTGTGTTTCGATTAATTAGCTTCAAAGATTATTTTGTTTGTTTATGCTGTTCCCGAGGTTTACTCAATGATTTGATCAGTTATTGGCGAACAATTTGTAATTTCTGACATTGTTCATATTAGTATTGCTTAAATGTTTGCATGGCGAAGAAATAATATATATGTTGAAGCTTGCGGTACACCATGTAAGTAGTTCTGAAAAGAACTGTTGTTGTTGAGAAAGTATCGACGTTTCGATTGAGATGCTTCAATCGTCTTCAGGAGACTAATATTTGCATACACTCCAAACAGGGTAATACTTATAATATATTTGGGTATAGAGGCTGGATGGTGGCAAACTGACCGATGGGTGAAAGGCTAAAACACAAGCTGGATGGTGATTGGGTGGATAAACTGAACTATGAGAAGAAACATGTCAATTTACTTTTATTGATAATTTGACATTGAACAAAAGATGTGACCATTAAGCCTATATATAATATAATTTGTTTCTAATTGTCATATCATTATTATGAATTATTGATAAATATTTCAAATATACAACAATATAGATATTATATCGCTATGCTTCGCTAAACCTGTTTGAAGTATTTTATTATCTTAAGACAGTCGATGGCGTATCGCATTTAATTTTGTCAAATTGTAACTTCAGCTTTCACAGCAATATACCAGATTGTTGCTTGTTATTCTAGTGACCAGTTGGAATTGTCATTTGAATCTGAAGCAAAACAATTACCAGACATTTACGGTACAGACAAACAATCGCAAATGAAACTAAAAATATAGGCTCCCAGCGGAAGCGCGTCTATGCCTTAGGCCTATACTACATTATGTTTACTAACTTTATATTTTGTATTATTTCGGTACATTAATAAGGTATTTAAGAAACTGTTCAGTATTTTTGGGGTTGTCTTTATATTGTATTAGTTGTAATGATGCATATTATAGTTACTAGTTAGGCTGGTATGTCGCTGTTTAAAAGGGAGTATTAAATATATGTTAAACTAATCTATTACTTATGGTGCTGTATATTTTCTTCATGTTCAGCATTGGAGTATGTAAGTTTAAATCAATTATTGACGATTGGTATGAAAATGGTGGTCAGTTTACATGTTTTTTGTGTAAATAGGGCGTTTGTAAATGTAATTGTAGTGTTGATGTTTTTAAGGAATTGAAGAACTGAATGTCTTGCATAGGCTGTTTGCTTTGCTGTTAAGAGTCTGCAATAATAACAAATGACGTTAAATTGTTTTGTTTTTCGAGGAGATGGTAGAGATATTTGTGTATGGTGCAAAACGGTATGTGTTTGTTGGGTTGAATAACTTGAGGGCACAGTAGCTTGATAGACAAACTGTTTATTATAGTCGACTAGACGAGACCTTGCTGAGCATATTTTATTGAAATAATGAAATGGCGAAAAGCCAGTAATCCTTGACCTAATTATCGGTGGTTGGCGAGGCGAAGTAAATAAAAAGTCTAGTTATATATATATGTATATATATATATATATATATATACTGTCT